ACTTGCTGAGGGAGCACTTGATCCCGCTGGCTGTGTCCACCTTGGAAAAATAATGTTCACGAGAGCACTGTAACAAGAAGCTTGGGGGCAGGATGGCCAACTTTGTGGTGGTTTGGTGTTTTTGGTTTTGTTTATGATTTACTCAGCTGGTTTGCATCAGTGGCCTCCCCAGCACAGGGGGACACACCTAGAGGACGCAGAGCTCAGCAGGGTCTTCAGGACCGACACGAGCCAGTGCATGTGACCATAGCCCTTAACCTCCTTCTCCTGCAGCTGGTGGAGGTCAATGGCGCCCCATGCCTGAAGCTCACAGAAGATGAGGAGAAGATGACAATCCCAGGGACTAAGACGATCTATCGGCTCTATGATGCTGCTGGTGAGTTGGGAGACCCTTGTAGGGTGCTGCCCTCTTGACCTGCCTCCCCGTTCCTGCTCCATAACCCTGTCCCCGATGTCCCATGCACCTGCTAGCCCCTAACCTGGCACCCCTGCAGGTCACCCCTTCATGGACCTCATGGCCTTGGAGGAGGAGCCCTCGCCCAGCGCGGGGCAGGAGCTGGTGATCCGCGTCCTAGGGCGGCTTGGTGAGACCAGCAAGGTCGTGCCCACCACTGTGGAACCCCTCCATCGGACGTACTTCAGAGATGGCCAGGTCAGGGGGTGGCTCTGCCTTCTGGTGCTGGAGGTGTCCTCCCCCCACGTTGGGTGAAGGACCAAGCCAGGGTGGTGGTGTCCTGGCAGTAATTTCAGGATCAAGGAGGGGTCAGACACCCAGTGTTTCCTTTCATCTGAGATGTTCCCTGCCCCAACAACTCAGGTGCCACCCTGGACATGGTTGCATCGGAGTCCAGGCTGGAGCTGGCTTGTTGGGGGATTGAGGCTGGGTGGCCAACTCCCCACGTGGCCATCCTGGTCATGGCTCTCCATCCCGCAGGTGTGCTTTCGGAGGTGAGGAGCCATGCGCAGGTGTCCCTCAGCTTGCTCAGCCCTGCTCACCGCCGGCTCCACGAGCCACAGCCCTACCCGGTACGTCCGCCGCTTGCCAAGCGCCATTGGTACACACCCAGGGACCCTGCCCGGTCCCGGTGGACTGAACAAAACCAATGTGGCTCCTCCGCGGAGCTGCAACGGTGCGTGGGGATGGGGCTGCAGTCCCCCCTGGGGAGCACACGCTCACCGGCCCCTCTC